AGTTTAGCATGTTCAACCCACTTGGGATTTGTAACACCCTAGAATTGCAAGATAATAAATTTGTATTGTTTAAGCCACTGAGTTTGTGTTAATTTGTTACAGAGGCCATAGATAACTAATATACCAACATTGCAACAACTTCCTTTCTCCCCAGAGTAGAGCAGTGCCTTCCTGAGGGATGAATAAAAACATCAGTATGTAGTACGTCTCCTCGTTTCCAGAATTTGTGGGCATAAAAGCGGAGATTTATTTATTTACTTAATTTTTTTAAAAGCCATCTAGTAATGCATAAATGCTACTAATATTTATTGGCAAATGTAATAATAATCGTCCAGGTAAATTGTAGCTATAACGTACTGCAATCATGTAAATGCATGAATATGTATCAGCCAACATATGACACCAAGCAAAACCAGTATTCAAACCTTCCTTCAAAATACTTTTTGCTTAAAATACCGGAATTTTTTTCTTCCATGAATTTATGTGTCAATACAATTTTTGCACTATTATTAAGAAGTATTTTGACAATACTACAACTTGATTTATTTTGTTTATTTAAAATCATAAGGATAACACAAATATCAGAGGTTCTTTCACAGTTAGATTGAAACTGGAAAAAAAAACAAAAGTATGTTACATAGCAAATGCACACACTTAGACAACTAGTAGCTAACTCTCCAAAAGTTTCTTAACTATTTTCTTGTACAGTGGGGCTTGCAGGTCCAAGCAAATTTTCCTCCCATTCTTCAGCGTGGCTCTGGCAAGGAAAAGAGAAGAGATGTGACCTTCAGTTCTTGGGTTTGCAGATGGCATTAAAAAGGAGAAGGATGGGCAGAGGAGGCACGGAGCCAGGGCACTGAGTGATGCAGTGCAAGGACTCACATCAGTTGGGCAGTGGGGCAGTGGGGTCCGGCCTTGATCACCTCCAGGCTGGTGATGTGCCTGGGACGGACCTGGGAGGTGGTCTTCACACACAGGCACTGCAGGTCTCCATCTTCTTCAGCTTCAGCTGAGGGGAAAAGGGAGGGGGTAAGAGAGGAGGAGGGGACGGAATGGTGACTCCATGAGTAGCCAGAGGTACTTTAGGGACTTTTTCCACTACCTTCAGCCTTCTTTTCCTTAGCCATAAATCATACCTCCCTCAGACAGAAGTTGTGCTGACCTGGTGCGAGCTGCAGGTGCAGCGCCTGTCGCTGTGCCCGGACAGTCAGCAGGCGCTCGGTTAAGCGTAGCTGCGATCGTGATCCTAGAGGACCCCCCAGCCCCAGGGCTTCACGGACTCCACCTCGCCGCTGGCGGCCCTCACAGCCTTGCTTCTGCTCTCACCTGTGGCGAAGGCGACCAAAACTGGCAGGAGCAGCAACCCCAGAAACAGCAGCACGGGGCGTGAGGGGCAGAACCGGGCTGCGGAGCTCATGTTGCAGCAGAGTTTCCAGCAGGATCTCAGTACGATGGGAAAGTCGGGCTGGGTCTCTGTGGCCAGTGACTCCTGAGCCTCACCAGGCGCGTTTTATCGCCGGCTGTCCTTCCAGTCCGGAAGCCTGAAGTGAACAGCCAGGAACTGCGGTGTGGAAACTAAGATACTGCTGGGAAGACTTGGGCTCTGGCCAGCCTAGATTACAAAAAAATAAAGAAGAAAGGGAGGGGGGGAAGGAGGAAAGAGAGGGAAAGAGGAGGAAAGAGAGAAAGAAAGAGAAAGAAAAGAAAGGAAGGAAGGAAGAAAAGAAAGGAAGAAAGAGAGAAAGAAAAGAGAGAGAGAGAGAGAAGAGAGAGGGAGAAGAAAGAAGAAGAAAGAAGAAAGAAGGAAGAAAGAAGAAAGAAGAAAGAAGAAAGAAGAAAGAAGAAAGAAAGAAGAAAGAAGAAAGAAAGAAAGAAAGAAAGAAAGAAAGAAAGAAAGAAAGAAAGAAAGAAAGAAAGAAAAGAAAGAAAAGGGCTCTGGGCAGCTGCCTTGGCTGGGACCTCCAACCTCAACTTACATACAAGCACATTTGTAGAGTTAGAAACAGAACTTGAGTCAGAAGAGGAATTTTTTGTGTGTTGTATTAATAATAGAGTTCTCTGTTGTCATCATGCAAATTACACACTAGGCACCTTCAGGACCCTGACAGTTCTGTTTCCTTTCCAACCTCCCAGCTGCAACTACCAATGCTTACTACTGAGTTTGGTGGCTTTGTGTGTGAAGGGTGTGTTATTTGCAATTATTTTCTGCTGCTAATAAGTTTAATTTCTTCTCTAGCAATGACTCTTCTGAATTTCACCTGAATGTGGAAAAATTCCCTAGTCTCTAGATGGGATTTACCAGGCTCCACCAACAATTACCCAGTATGCTGTGGGACGCAAGGTCTATTTTCCCATTACTTGTACTCTTGGAAAAATTGCGGAAGTAATATTTGAATGCATTCTTTTTGTAAAAGCTTAGTGCCTGGCTGTTTCTTCATTGTTTCCATGCTGAATAACAGTCCAGAAGAGAAGACAAGAAGAGTTTGCTAGGCCATGCCTCCCAGTGCCTGCTGTGTCTTCAGCCAATGCCAGTGACAAGGTGAGATGGGCTGAACTGTTGGCGGGGAGCAGTGATGGTTTCTGCGGGAGGATTCAGGGCATCTGGGAGTTGAATGTGAGAATGATGGAAGGTGAGAGTGGAGGGGATGCAATAGAATCCCACACAGGAAAGGAGAAGAGATCCCTGTGGACTGTCTTCCCTTCTCTGAAAAAGAATGACTGTGGCCCTTTATTAGGGCAGGGTACACCCTCAACCCGAAGTCAGAGGTTCTCTGTCACACTGATTAACCGTGGTGAAGGGTGTCAGGAGACCACTGCATGGAAAAGCTGATATTCTAATACATGGTAGGACTGGACTTCTACAGAAATATGCAATTTAATTGTTGAGCTGAGTAGTTTCTTCCTCCTACTCTCCCACCACTTGCCTTTTTAGCTGACTAAGACTTATTTATACTTCTGGAGTCGGATTAAGTATCAGTTCCTCAGAGGGGCCTTCCCTGACAACTCTATGCAATCATGTTCTCTTGCCTTTCTATCTGGCAGAACTCTGTTTTCCTGTTTCTCACAGGTAACACACATGCACACACACACACACACACATATTACACAGAGATACATATGTGTGTGTGTGTATGTGTGTATTTCATAGTGTTAAAAATGGTTTTGTTTCCTAAACTGGAAAACACTATGAAATCAGAGATTATAACATTTATCACTGTTTCAGTGTACTGGTATAGACTCAATTCAAAGTGCTACCTTAGCAAAGATGATGAGTTGAAAATGATGATGATGAAGTTTTAACATGCTCATGTATCTGCTCCTTCAAGCAATTGAAGCATACATATATTAGCAAGTGTAATATATAGTTGAAATTATTTGCCTACCTATCTGCCTCTCCTACCACACAGTGATCTTTTCAAGTGCAATTCTCTGTGACTTATATACAGTAGTGCAGCACATAACAACATTTAGGTCAATAATAGACTGCATATATGACAGTGGTCCCTTAAGATTATAATGAAGCTGATAAATTCCTGTTGCCTAGTGATGTGATTCCTACTGCCTCACGGTTGTAAAGTCATAGGAAGCAGTGTATTACTGACATGTTTGTGGGATGCTGGTGTAAACAAACCCACTGCACTGCCAGTTCTATAAAGTATATAGCACATACAATTATGTATAGTACACAATACTTGATCAGAATAACAGCTATGTTACTAGTTTATGTATTTACTAACTATACCTTTTATTATTATTTTAGAGTATACTCCTTCTACTAGTTATAGAAAAAACATTAACTGTGAAACAGTCTCAGACAGATCCTTCAGGAGGTAGGAGTTGTTATCTTCTGTCTGTTATCATAGGAGATGGCAGCTCCATGTGTATTATTGCCCATGAAGACCTTCTAGTAGGACAAAACGGGGAGTTGGAAGATAGTGATACTGATGATCCTGACTCCATGTAGGCCTAGGCTGATATGAGTTTTTGCATCTTAATTTTAACAGAAGAGTGTGAAAAATAAAAAATACAAAAGAAAACAAAAAACAATTAGCCAGGCTCTATGGCTCACAGGTGTAATCCCAGCCTGAGAGGCTAGGGCAGGGGGATCACTTGAGACCAGGAGTTCGAAAGCAGCCCGGGAACCAAATGAGTCCCTTTCTCAATAACAGTTTTCAAAAATTAGCTGGGCATGATGGTGCACATCTGTAGTAAAGATCAAGGAAGATCACTTGAGCCCAAGAGTTTGAGGCTGTAGTGAGCTGTGATCATGTCACTGCACTACAGTGTAGGTGACAGAGAAAGACCTCATCTCTAAAATAAATGAATAAATAAATAAATAGAAAACAAGCTTATAGAATGACGATATAAAGAAAAAACATTTTTGTACAGCTGTACAATGCATTTAAAGTGTTATTACAAAAGTCAAAACGTTTAAAAATTAAAAAGTTTAAAAATAAAAAATTACAGTAATCTAAGGTTAATTTGTTGAAGAAAAAATATTTTTATCAATTTAGTGTAGCCTAAGTGTACAGTGTTTACAAAGCCTAAAGAAGTGTACAGTCATGTCCCAGGCACTCACGTTCACTCACCACTCACATTCCGTCTCATCCAGAGAAACCTGCAGTCCTACAAACTCCATTTGTGGTAACTGCTCTATACAAGTGTACGATTTTACTCTTTTATACCATATTTTTACTATATCTTTTCACATTTACATATGTTTAGATACACAAATACTTACCATTGTGTTACAACTTCCTATGGTATTCACCACAGTAAAATGCTGTGTAGGTGTCTAGCCTAAGAACAATAGGCTATACTATATAGCCTAGGCTTGTAGTAGGCTATACAATTTAGGTTTGTGTAAGCACACCCTATGATGTTCACACAATGACAAAATCACCTAATGATGCATTTCTCAGAATGTATCCCAATTGTTGAGCAAAACATGACTGTATTTATGAACATCCTGTATCCAACACAATGACTGTTGCAGAACATTTTGTAATTCATACATGTTTATTAACCTGAGACTTGAAGCCCCTTCTGAGTTAGCAGCAGAGAGAATGAAGGGGAGGGATGATTTTGCATATGGATGGGCAACACGCTAGGTTTGTACAATCTTACACCCAGATTTTAATGTTTGCAGTGTAAAGGAATCCAGGTGGCACTGAGTGGCAACTAAATTACTCTTTCCCTGCATGTAAACAGAATAACTCAATACATGCACACAAAAACAGAAGACATCTGCATCTCAGGAGGTATAAACATGGTGTCAACACTGTGCCATGTCTCAGGAGCTGGTTTTGTCAAGTTTCAGTGGGAAACCACCAGACATAATGAGTGAGATGCCTGATATCCTATAATTATTATAGTATATACAATATGCTATTTATGTATCAAGTTGTATTATGTATGTGAATAATACTACGTTATATGTAATGTAATCTCTTCATTAGAGAAAGAAGAGTTGAGGAAAGCACTGTGGTGTGGCAGTTAAGAGCACAATTTGAAATTACCACTCTGTTACCTACTTAGTTAGCTAAAAGTGGGCAAGTATTTTAAACTCTATAAACTTGATTTTTCTCTTCTGTAATGAGGGGGAGAATAATAATAATCATAAGAAATAATTACTAACATTTATATATGGCTTATTTGTGACATACATTATTTTAAATGCCTTAAATTTGTTAACTCTTTTAATCCTTCCATAAACTCTATGAGGGAGGCAATATTATTATCCCCATTTTTCCAGAGGACGTGCTTTTAACCAGATCATATCTATCTTTTAAAAAATTGTTTAGTTCATGCATGCAAAACATTTAGTATTCCTGGCATATTAAAATGATTAATAAATTGGAACTATTATCATACTACATTGAGAATGACACAGATCATCAATTTAGTAACTTTCGTTGGTCATACTGTGAAATACCAAGTACACAAAAAAGGAAAATTAAAGTTTTTTTCCTCCAACAATCCTGTTAAAATTAATAATATATGACAACAAATCAATAGCAAATTTTTATTTCATGTGAATATTTTTGTAAGAATAGTGTGGGTATAAATTTTAGGGTTTAAAAATGAATGAAAGTTCTGTTGATTAAAAAAGTAGAATTTAGAATTAGGAGTCTAGTAAGACTGAAGTCCTATATTGTACTTATTTATAAGGTTTATTCTAATGCTAGAATTGTAACTATATAGATATGTTAATTCATTTTCATCATCTGTTTTTGTTCTACTAGTGGCAAATATATTCACTTTAAACTAAGCACAGATTATAAGACTCATATTCACCAATTTATTATTTTAGGGTTTGATGGCTAAAATAAACATCAGAATAAACTTTCAGGGAGTATTTTAAATAAGACATCCTAGGACTAAGACACTGAGAGACTATATTAAGTTCCTAAATATTTAACAAAAATGTATTGAGCAAATATTCTCTGCTGGGCTCCATGTGATTCCTATTATCATTGCCCATTATTAAATCTAATAATCCCCATGAGTATGTCTAATAACCATAAAGTAGAGCAGGAAAAACCAACCAAGCTGTGTTTGAATAGAAATTTTTAAAGAAAAAAATGCAAAGCACAGTCCAATGTTTAGCCAATAATTAGAGAGTTGAAACCAGGCTTATTTATTTTCATCTTCCTTCTGCCATCTTTTAACCAACCTTCTCAGAATAAAATGTGATTTTTAAGACAGAATGAAACACATATCCAAATTTTAATACAGTAAGAATAGGTATCCCGAATAAATGAGAACTCTAGAAAATCAAGGCTTCAAAATTCTACCCTTCCTGGGGGTTAAAGAAGTTTGGTAGAAACGGAACAAATTAATCAGCGGATTCATCACCTGCCAATTTTTTCTGTACAATTTTCTTAATTCTGGGAGCATCTGGGTCCAGGCAGATTTTCCTCCCATCCTTCAGTGTGGCTCTGCAAGACAGAACAGGGTTATCTGTTGGTGTCCTAGCATGAATATCAGAACTAATCCATGAGACTGGAGGAAACAAGTGCATATGCGGATAGAGGTAAAGGGTTTCCCTGATAAAGCAATAGCACAGAAACAGCAACTTACATCACTTCGACTTGGTTGCAATGGATTCCTTTCCCGATCACTTCCAAACTTTGGATGTTTTTGGGATGAATTCCAGAGGTTGTCTTCATACACAAGCAGCGCAGTTCAGTGTACAACTCACTGTCTAGACTTTCCTCTAGGGTAGAAAATGTTACCTATTGGTGGCCATGAATATTTTCCTCAGGTCCCTTATTTGCAGGTTGAGGGTAATTGTGCCTCTCTCATGAAGCTATTGTGAATATGATCTGTAAAGCTTTAGTAAAGTGCCCAGCAGAATGCCCAGCACACAAGAAGTGAGAAGTGACCCCCCGCCCGTGTTCCTCCTCCAATTGGAGTTGTTGATTTAATGGCACTCTCCAGCCCCAGAGGCACAAAACTAGTCTTTCCCCCAGACACAGGTGTAGCAGAAACAACAACAGGTGCAGGGAAGCAGGGCCTCTACCTTTACCTTTCGCCAAGTTTCTCTTAGTTTGTCCTTTGGTGGAGGAAGCCAGAGCAGTCAGCAGCAGTGACAGAAGCAGCAGCACCTGCAGGGCATGGAGTGGTCTGGCACTGTTACAGGAAGAGGTGGTATCAAGTCTGAGGCTCATGGTGGAGAAGGCTGAGCTAGAGTTGTTTCCAGAGCCAGAAGACCGCTGAGTGAGGGTGAGTTACTGCCCACAAGTCTGCAGATAAGTGGCTTCCCATGCCCTGAAGATGTCATTTATATGCTCTCTCTCAAAGCCAGTAAGAAGGAAGAGGTAGGGAAGGAGGAAGTGAGGGTATGTGGTGATACACACATAAGCATTTGAAGCTGTGCCCAACCCAGAGAAAGACCAGAGAGGTCAAAATTTTTACTAAGTTGCACATTATGCATCACTTCACATTCCTACTGTCCCTTTTTCAATACCTATCTCTCTTACACATGTGTAAGAACTCAGTTCAAGAAGGTAAGAACTAGACTGAAATACTACATGAGTTTTCTTTGTGTGATTTATAACAATACGCCCTGCCATTTCTATAAGGCAGTTTTTAGGCTTAATAAAAACTTTAAGCGCACCTGAAGGCACAAACATGTGGCCCTTGAAAGAGAAAGTTATCTTGCCTTGTTAGTGCCAAAGAAAGCAAATGTTCTTTTCATGGTTGTTGATAAATGGGACTGATTTTGAGCATGTGAATAAAATAAGAGCTAATTACCATCAAAGGTTGTCTTTGGATTTTAGGTTATTGGATTCTTTCTGCCTTCAATCTATATTATATTTTATAATTTCATCTAGAAACTACAAATGAAACTCATCTTCTTTTGTATTACAAAATAAGCTACTTGTTTCTACCACCTAAAAATACTTAAAAAGCAGGACCCAACATTTTTATTTTTCTTTTTATTTATAACAGAAAAATTATATAATTTATTGCAAAAGATTCATACACTGCAGATATATTTGAAATAAAACACAAATTTATCTTCATCATTTCTCCACATTCCTACTCTTCAGTGGTAAATATTGGTAACGATTTTGCATTAGTTTTCAATTCTATCTGCATTTATATGCACACATGTATATGTGTACAGTGAGACATGTTTAGGACATAGAGATACACATATATGTAGAAGAATTGTATATGGATGACTATACAGGTGACTTTTATCCTTCAAAAAATATGTGTTCGGTGTCTTTTCATGCCATCTTAATGTAGTTTTTCCGCATCCTTCTTAATGACCACATGACGTCCTATGGTAAGAAGAATAGTTATTCAACCTTGTCTTGTTGGTGCCCTTCAGGGTGTTTCCAGTTCTGCCCTATTAGAAATTGCGCAAGAAATGCCTTACCAAGCAAAATATTTGTTCGTGAATTCTCAGACCCAAATTAAATGTTTTGGTCTGAAATGCTTTAACCCTACAAAGATAGAGAGGTGGACCTACACATTACATGTTGACTTTATGTTATTTTCTGGTTCTCTGTCCCATCTGTAACACTTACTTCCTCAACCGAACCATACACTTTTGTAGGGAGTGGCATGTCCTGTGTTTCTTTGAATGTCTCATGTCTCCTATAACATGTAGGATACTTCAATACAAAGCAGGTCTTAAATAATTAATAAATCAATGAATTTGTATCACATGAAAGTTTGCCTATCCTTTCTAATCACCTACAATTCCAAGCCAAATTCGACAGGACCCAAAGCAACTATACTATTTAAATTGATTTGGAAGCTTGTCAATAAAGAAGAGGCAGATACAAGTGGCCCTGGCAGCAAGTTTCTCCCTTTTACAACTATGTATAAGTCTCATGGAATATTATTTAAATTTTCCATATTCTTTTTTTACTTTTCATATCTTTAAATTTTAGAAGAAATACTTAAAATACTAAATGTTCAAAATTATTCTCTATCAAAAGGATGAATATAGTAATTTTTTTTAAGCCTGTTTTTGTTTCCAAGCCAATTTTCCCTATTGTTTAATAGTTATGTACTATGTCTACTCAAGTTCTTAGGTCATGTTTTTAAATGTGATATAACCTACAGATCACATTTGGCAGCTTACTTTAGAAGTAAGCAGACTTCCAAATTAACTAGCCTTGGAAATGTTTTGTGACTTGATGGTGACATTCTACCTCTGAGTAAAGTATTTTATTATGAGTTCCTCAGGTGGTTGATGTAGTAATTAATGTAGAACCTACTGACACTAAATAGGACAATGATTTATTTCTAAGTTTAGCTGAAACAAAAAGTTTAATTGATTGTTTTGCATGTAGACATTTAGCCTGTATGCTGTAATCTGTAAGTAATGATTTTAACTTTGGTATTGTACCCTCCCATGAAAAAGAAGACAACTCTCGTATAGTTTTTTCTGCCTTATTTTAAGCTTTTCTATTATATAAAGCCCTTGTAACTTGTGAAAGACTCTAGAACACCCCCAGCTTTGTGGTTGTGTCTTCCCAGGTCTATCTTCCCATTTGGTTTTCAATAAACATGTATAAAATTATTCTGCCTCACTAACCTTAGTTTCAGTTGATGAATGTATGTCTTATTTTTCTCCACCTCATTTATTTTTTTCTTATAAATTAGAGTTTAGCAGTAGAACATATTTAATTGAAATGATTTTTCTCCCTGTCTCAACACAGAAATTTCTGGTCTTAAGCAAGCTTAAAGGAATGGTGTAAGCTGAGAGTTCAGGGTCTTCTGAGAGTTGAGATGTGGAGTCAATGGCAGAGATAAGTTCAACAGGACACAAAATGAGGAGAGCAGACTTCTATTTCCTTCTGTGGGGTAACTTTATAGGCTTTTGTCATTATTGAGTTTGAGATATTGTGAATTCTTAAGTCATATACATTTTCATTCAAACGTAAGATCAAAGTCATTTCTAGAGCAAGATATAAAGGTTTTTTTGTTTTGTTTTTTTTTAACACTATTCATAGTATATTTCATTTTCTGTTCAACCCCAAAATACATTGCTGAGAACGTTTATTGGCCTCAGTGGTCACCTTTTTCTTTCCCTACTTTAACACTATCCAGATTTATTTCCTTGTTCATTAGTAAGATTCCTAAAAGTCCCTAATCTTTTTGAGGAAACTGTATGAAAAGTTTTCTAAAGTAATGACGCTTTTGACTGGGTTGATACCAGGAAAAAGGTAGGCTCTTTCCTACCAGGAAACCAACTAGTGGGTTGACATCAGGAAAGAGGTGACTCCAGTATCATGGAGTCATTGCCTTAATCAACAAATGTGGCTTGTTGCAAAAAACGCATCGTCGGCAAAATCCATGAGGCAATAGTGACAGTTTTCTTGAGTCATCAAAATTTCATAAGGATGTCAGTCAGCATTTGATACAAAAAATATTTTGCTAGTTTTTATTAATTCAAAAAATATTGGTTAAGCATCGATTGATTGAGCCTAAACTTCGTAACAGATTTTACAAAGTTCTCTTTGCATGACTTGGTCATTTGATTATTTGTTTTTAAAAAATCAGGCCTAAAATATTTGTGTAAAGCAACAGGATATGAAAAATACCCTACTCTTGCTGCTATGGTGACAACTGCCACCGTTAACTGCTGTTACTGTCGTTTGCATCATTCCCTTCCATTTCCATGCTGAGAAACACAGTACAGATGATGATAAACTGAGTGTACAAAACTGGTTAAAAGATGTTTTTGAATAACTTATTCAGTTAAAATCATACAGTCATACAAAATTATTGTTTAAATAAATGCTAGAATTAGAAAAGAGTTATTTTGTTCCTTGTTTTTAAGATAACTTGACAGCCATTTTATTAATCTTACATTGTCATTGTATGTTGTAGGTTTGTGTATATGTATTTAAGTGCTAAGTTATTTTAGCTCTTTTTTCTTTAAGTCATCTTATAAATAGCAGAGTCATGAAGGAAGCAAGCAAATTATCTAAGACTCAAAGCACATTCTATGTTAGCTATTTTAAAGAAAATATCTGGGAACATTGGAGGACCACTATCTATAAAATTAAGACATATGTTAGCTTCTTCTCTGCCTCATACAGAACACTTTTAACACGCATTTCCCAAATCCTTCTTTCAAGTATGAAGGAAGTAGACTACCAACTACAAATTAATCGTAAAAGCAATTGGTACCGAAAATATATACTAAGGACAGTACAATTTTGAGTCTGTTTGTTCAAAAATATCTTAATCAATAAATTTAAAAGACTATCCATCAAAAGTTTTTCTGTAAGTGCTGAAACCAAATGTGCTTACCGTATAACTGTGAGTTGACAAGAATTGTTCAGATGTTAATTGAAGTTTTACTGTATACTGCTCAGAGGTGGAAGCAAGGGCTGAAAAAATGGGAGGAAGTGGGGAGAATTGAAGGAGTCGAGGGAAGGTATCTTTCTAGGTGCCATTATATACAATACTTCCAAACTTTTTGCAGGACTCAGAATTTGTGTTTTAAATTACATTTGATTAATAACATTTGTTCAATCTCAATGTATGCAAGTTACCTAGTTTTACTTACATACTCATTCATTAAGGAAATTCCAACATAATGTTCTAGAGCCTGCAAACACATTAAATTGTTAACAAATACCATTAATTCTCTTTTGTTGTGTAATGGCTTGACCTCATAGTTAGTGGCTTAAAATATTAATTTATTGTTTCTGATATTTCTGTATGTTAGCGTGAGGTTCTTCTGCTAAGCTCATAGAGTGAGTGCAGTCAGGAGCAGCTGAAGTAGCTGAAAATAAAGTGGAGACAATAGGGTGACAATAGTCAATGATGACTTAACGTGCATTTAAAATAACTCATAAGAATGTAATTGGATTGTTAAGTGACCCAAAGGATAAATGCTTGATGGAATGGATACGAATTCTCAGTATTTGCTTATTTCACATTGCCTGCCTGTATCAAAGCGTCTCATGTACCCATAAATATAAACAGCTACTCTGAACCCACAACATTTTTTTAAGAAATAAGAAAAATAATAAAATAATTTAAAACAAAATTTTTAATGGCTTGATTCACTTGGGAGGTAGTTGGTGTTGGCTGTTGGCTGTGATTTCTACTGGGGCACCTGGGTTCTTCTGCTACTCTTTTAAAATATAATTATTTAATTTCTCACTATTAAAGCAGAAATGAGATAGAGGCGGGAGAGAAGGAGAACAGGCAAACTGAAACCAAATGTGCTTACCGTATAACTGTGAGTTGACAAGAATTGTTCAGATGTTAATTGAAGTTTTAC